TTTCCACAGGTCGAACATGGCACTTTTATCTGCCAAACGACATAACTTACCAATTACTGTTCTTTATTTCTGTCGAAATCACACGGTGGTGTTCCTTTGTAATCACGAAATCAATTGATCGGTCTGCTCCGTTCGCATTGGAAAAATGAATGATTGAATACTTCTTCATTCTTCCTTCCATTGATTGTGTCGATGACCATCTCGCGGCTGGTTTATCTAAAGTGATTTCAACTAGAAGGATTTTGGTATCTAGAAATATACGAATTCAATTTTTATTGTCAATCTAACTTCCCCACTCATCTCATCATTCATGATCACGCAAATTTACCGGTTCGATCGATAATATGGCTGCCACCTTAACATGGAGCCAGTCACATCATTTATTAATGCANCGAACGGTAGGTAACGACCAACGAATACACAGAAAATGCAGATCAATAGCTTTCAGCATTGAAATGTAAAATCGATAACCTGTGATTCCAGTCGACATTATTTCACCCCCACTGTAAATATGTGCACTTATCGTAAGATATGAGAATTTGGTATGAACTTTTTCTGCATGACGGGTTCATTCACTTCGAACATGAATTATGAATGGCAAAGTTCGTCCATCGAACTGGCGCGATGCAGTATTCAGTCCTAACCACACACCACGTGTCAAACTAATATGAAATCACGGTTTCCTGCAAATTAAACATTACCATTGAAACTCTGTTAAACCGAGACGTCATTCTTGCATATGACCATTACGGTCCAATCAATAAAATATGCCAATGTGTAAAATGAATTTAACAGCCCAAGCAGTATCATTCCTCCAACTGTTAATGCAGCCTATTGATGCAAAGACCAAAACGTTGCAAGATTACCTAAAATTAATACCAATAGTATAAAATTCGCGATATGAACGAAACACGTTTGATCTATACCTCGTCCGGTGATGAAAATTACACAGAAAATAGTGAAGTAAAAGCGTTCATTTTCACTGGCACTTGAGTTAAGCTCAATGTAACATCTGTCAATAATGAGCGGGTTTGAATAGACGGGGTCTTATGCTTCCCAGTTAGGAAAAAATGGGATAGAATGAATATAATATTAGAGTTATGACTTGCCAAGTATTTTCCAATCCCGGAATAAAATAACGCACAACGACTACTAATTTCATAAACGAGATTTGTTTTGTAGATTACGTTTGCCATTTTGATCTAAACCACCACACTTGATCCGAGTCTCCCGTGATTATCCGGGGATTGTAACTTCCTTATAAACAGAGCTCTGGCAAGACATTACTCTATTTCTAAACTTCGATGTATTTGTCATTTGTCAATCACCATAATTACCTATTAATATAGTTCTTTTTACACCTCTGTGCTGATCTGTATTCCATCGCACTCCTCATCCCTCCCTTCCCCCCGTTCCACACACACAACTACTGTACAAATCGATCAATGCTTTGGCCATCGCTCGATTCACAATTCAGTCACGCACTCAGGCCCAGAGCAAGCTGAATTCACTCCAACAAGAATTGGAAATGTCCAATCAACGAGCGGACGAGGAGGCAGACTCGGCGACCAAATTGCAAGGTCAAGTTTCGCGACTCACTGCAGAGGTGGCCCAGAATCGATCTAAATTTGAGCGAGAGTTGAATGAGAAAGTGGAAGAATTGGAAGAGCTGAGGTAGGTGTTTATTAGACCGAAACGTGTCACGGATTGCTGCTATAACAATGAGCTTTTGTTAACACTTTAGCACTCACTTGATGTAGTCAGGTCAAATCCTTGTTTGCGCATACTACTCTGTAATGATCAAAAGGACGTATTTCTAAATAGGACACAGAAATACTTGACTGTGAACCTGGCCATCTATGCAAATAGTGCAAATAGTTGGCTTCATCGATTACGAGCAGCGTTGTCCGTTTGGCTCGTACGGATTCACAGACATTAGGATCTGTGAATCGATCTTAATATTGGATCCCATTTCGTGGAAAATAAATATTAGGAAAAAAACCCGTGTTGAATAAATAAAATTGCGAGGAGCGAGGTTCACATGGATTCACAGGTCATATTTTCTTGGAACTCGCTGGAACTCTCCTAGATATTTTGAATTTTTGCCTGTCGTATGTTAGTTTTTGTTTACATGTTTGTCTGTGTAGTAAGTCAGTGATAATCCCTTTCTGTACCCATAAACAAGAAATCCTCATGATTATATTTGAAGCTGGGTTTTGCGGTTGATCCAAGTAGCTAGGCTACCGATTGCTCTAACCGAACGAGTATATGCCGTCAACAAGCAATTCACGGAGAGACGCATAAATGATGATCTAAGAAGCCCCCGACAGGGAAAAAAAGATTCACAATGTGTGAATGTTCCAGTTGGCTCATATGTCGTCAGTAAGAAGCATTCATTGACCCAGAAGTTTATCGCCCGAAAGGGGGACCGCTTCTGAATCGGTAAGCTTTTATAATACCATTCAAAAGGCTCCAGCTGGTCAGCATCTTCGCTCATGTATGCGATAGATTCCAAGGCTAGGACCCAACTGCAACATAATACCTTCAGTTTCAGACGCTACAAGTAAACTTGAGAGAATGTACTCTTTTTATTGTTCATCATTGCGCAGTGATTATTTAAGCGACGTTCACTACCATATGTCTACTGATGCACTCGGTTCGAGTCCTTGTGGGGCAAATGCTCGATGACACATAACCACTGATTTCATCAAACATTTTGTGAATACTACACATCGATACTGTTTATCTTCACATTTAAAGTTTTTTTTTCACGAGTATTTCCGATATGAATAGGAATAATTCTTTGAGTGTACCCACACAATGATATAAATAGACTGTTCGCTTCCTACTCTGTGATTAATGTTCTTCCATACTCGAACGTGTACAGTCGAACTCCAACTACTGTGTACCATGATTGGTTTCATATCCAGACTGTAGCAAATCAACGCCGAGAGATTTTACATTTTGACCATCACTGACTTTGTGTCTGATCCTTAACTCTCCCTCCCTCATCCTGAATCCTACCCGCCCGCTCCTATGGCAACTCCCACACATAGGCGTCGAATGAACACACGGGTCTCCGAACTGACGGAGGCACAAGAACTCGAGCACAGTCGTGTGCTCAGTCTGGAACGAACCAAAAATCAATTGACTGGGCAAATTCAAGAATTACAAAGCCAATTAGACTCGGTGAGTGCCTGGGGGGTAATGCGTTTTACCCCATTGATGCTCTCGTTTCATCAAACTGAATGAAGTTGATTGGTCTTTCTTCGATTTCCGATTTCAAGCCAGCTTTCTTTTAGGTGACGAAACCGGGCAATGCTTGTCCGGGTTAATCGAACATGCGTTCGCATAGTCTCTATTTGACTAGTCGCTACTGTCAGAAGAAAGTTGAGGAATTGTGGATTCAATCGCACAAGCATTAGGTTTCAGGGTTGATAAAGTTTTGAAACTTGGTTCTGTTCGCTCGAGTGGACTGAATTTATTTTGGTTTGTTGAAAGGAATCGGGATTATTTTCAATATAATTTACAACCAAAGATCTTTAGATAAGGCCACGTTCTACGAATAGGAGGTATGTATCTGAGATTTTTCACGTTTGATCGATAACACGCAAGCGATTGGCGCATTCAAATAACGTGCTACAGTCCCTGAACGTCCATCTATTTCCCACATAGTGGAATGGCATCGAAGGACTAAAAACATACCTGCAGCCAGATATATCGCAGTATAATGTAATCACTCCTTAATTTTAAGAATGAACCAATCTAATAGATGACACTCCAGCATGACAACCTTCCACGAAATGCTGCAAAAGTGTCTCAGTCAGCCTTTTCACTGTTCAGGCTATAGAAACACAGGCCATACAAGCTACTGTATGCATCGCCCGGTGCCATATAATGGAAATGTATTCGAGGTTTGGTCGGATTGCACTGCTAATGGTCTTTGACACTGTGTCCCAAAAAGAATAAAGAGTTTCTGTTACTTTGATAAGTATTTGTGAACATGCGTCTCATCTTCTTAAAGGTGACCCAGAAAATATCATCACTCGTTAAGTGGTAAGAAGGAATCGTGAAATGTCAAAGATTCTAGTCTTATTTGAGCCATCCTATGGCTAAGTAAGCAGGTAATTTTTCTTTTATCCAATCGATATCTTACCCAAAAATTAAAATGATCACTGTATTTCATTAACAGATATGACACAAAGAACAGTACAGTGAAACTCAAACCAACTTCTGTAAGCGGCTCACGCTTTACGAGAGTCCACTAACCAATCTAAAGAACCAGAACAGAGACTTAAATGTCCTCAGTTGGCCGATATCTTAACTCGCAATGATCAATGTCGAATATTTCACACAGCATCTAAAGTAGCTGGACTTCCATAGAACCTCCTGAAGAGCAATCATATCTTTGCGGTTGACAAATGCTGTACTAAAGTATTTTTTAACACACCGGGGCCAAATGATATTAGGAGTGTATCGAAAAATCGATGCGCCATGTGTTGTTTTATTGTGAATGTTATAGTGTTAATAACACAGCGATGTACTGAAGTAATTTCTATAAATGATCTTCACAAATTTTAAAATGGTGATGTAAATAAAAATCAATCCAACGATCGATACCCTAGTTAACGAGACAATAGCCCAGTGTAAAAAAGTAATCTCGCATATCGGCAGGAAAATGGCATGGGGTCTGCAACTGAGCTTCTTCTGTGCGTTTGTGCATGTCAGAACCAGTCAGACGCTGTTCCAGGTGGGAATTGGAAATAGGTGAACGCAGAGGGGAAAATCGAAGCAAGGCTGTTGTTTGCAATCCACACTAAAAGTATGTGTGCTCAATTACACGGTTATTACCATAATGTCAGGTAATATAATCCTAATCAACATTACAGCACACTGTGGTCATAGTAAGATGAAAATTGAACTAACTTATGCCATCCACCAAATAAAAGGCATGTCTCTGAGGTTCATGCAACATCTAATCCTATGAACAAAGTTCGCACGCACTTGATTTGAAGTTGTGAATAATCGGATACGCTGAGACGCAGAAATACCCACTGTTAACATATGCATAACTACCGAGTAGAAGGATATAACAAGTTATTCGGTCCTAGAAACTGACATTCTAATCCATGATATGTTACAGTTCAAACTACTGTGAACCCCCACTCAGTTGCACCGACTTGTCCGCCCAATCACACTGTATACTTGGAGGTCGATAAAATTCCGGGTACATCTGTTCGAGGGATATTAGTTATTGTTAAACGAAAAGAAACGAATGCCAATCTGACCCGTCTGAGCTCGATCCACATAACAATGAGAACAACTCAATTTGTATCGAATGGTTAAAGATGCAAACTACACGAGATTTTGATCAAGGCAAGTTCCTTCAATAAACGGACATGAAGCCATTTCACTAAAGCCTTAACACAGTCTTTTCGGGTTAGGCCCTTCGAGTTTTTTATCCCCTTCTCATTATCCTTTCTCATTTCCACCCGTACATGAACCTGTTAGCTCTATGCCCAGTGCGCAGAGCAGAATCAAGAACTGAAATCCTTAGAGGCGCAACGCAACGAGTTTCAGCAATTGTTGGAAGAATCTCAGAATGAGGAAAGTAACCTACGCTCCAAACTGGGCGTGGTCCAACGCGAATTGACCCAGGTCAAAGCGACTCGAGCAGATTTGGAAGAACGAATGATTGCGGCCGAAAAAGAGGCACGTCAAAATGCGGGTAAGTCTGGGGAGTCACGGAGATAATCTCAGTGCCTGAAGGTTTTATTTGTACATACATAGTCAGCAGATGTTTGAAATTATTGCTTCTTGTAATCAGTTAAACTGAGGCAAACGTATATTTGAACTATCGTTTCTTCAGGGAGTCAAGATCTTGGAGCGATTCCGATAAAATGGAGGAATCGTGTCTTGTTCTTCAGTGAAAAATGCCAAGCGATAGCCTAATGAACGCTCAAAACTCACACTGAAAGCATAATTCACGCTATAATATAATAAGCTGTATGGGAACGAAGAAACGAAATGTTCTTGGAATCAGACAACCCGCTTCACACCTTTTGCCTTTAATCAGGTTTGAGTTTTGTCGCATCGAACTGTCCGAATTAGGGAAAAACTGTCAAATGCGGATTCCAAAGCACTGATCCCAAAGATACCATTTAACAAGCTGTTAGAACAAATTTCATCCCTGTCTTATGCTGCCTTCCAATGAGGGTATCGTTCATTAACTAAGCGAAAATCCCATTTAATTTGAATAAAACAAGTAATATTTCAAGGCGCACTTCTGCATTTGATTTGCAATACCCTTCAATAAAACACCGTTTCCCCCATTAAAATACTCCAGGGTCTGCCTAAATCGGGTTTCGCAAAGCTGCACGATCGTCTGTCATATTAAACAAAAAACTGCTTCCAACCTCTCCTAATCACTTGTCAAATCTGAACTAACTATTTCGGGTCTACGCTTGGTGGTTAATGAATGTCTGAACGCGATTTCAGATAAAACGAGACAGATTTGGCTGAAAAATCCCCGTAACAATATTGGTCAAAATTCTGCGCCGGGGTTGAAATTTATGATGATTGCACACAAGATTTATGCTAGAATACTCCTCTAGAGATACCTGTCAAGTGTTGAGAAAATCATACATATACCTGTTTGCAAAATGTGTCACAGCGTTACTGCTGTAATTCATCGATATTAGTTTGGGTGATTATATTAAATCGATCCAATAAGAACTAACATATATATATATATATATATAAAATGTGTAACTCACTTTTGTTGTGGTTAGTAGCACCTAACCGACCTATAAGCAGCGAATCAAAGTATTGATTCATAAATAGACTGGTTCTGAGAAAGTTCTCCAAAAAACTAACCGGTATTGCAAATGAGGGTATTGTGACGATAATATACTTCCTAGGCACAAGTGTATGACTGAAGAGACAAAAGATTAACGGATCGCAAGCACTGTGAAACTGTTCCTGTGCTTCCAAGGAAATTTCATCGAGGCATTCATATAATACTTATTGTAAAATAGATATATATATCACTACCACAAGACTGCTCGATTAGTTGGATTGCTTTCAAATGAGTCAAAAATCGAGGAACAATTTAGACGAGGATAGGCTTGTGTATGAGTGTATGTGATGTACAATCAGAACCATGTCACCCCCCCCTCCCAATAAAAAATAAAAAATAAACTACTCGTTCGAAGTAGCTTTGTAACACAATTCGGGGCTAGAGAATTCCACACACTCTTTTTCACATAAGAGTAGACTCATCAAACAGAAGTCTGTATGCTTACTTACTTGTCACCAAGATCGAGTGGAGCGCGGGAGGCACATCCTGTTTCCTTTGTGCCCGTGTTTTCTGTTTGAAGACAGCAATCTACTACCTGTACACCTATGCAATGCACATCTCTTTTTCATCATTCACTTTGATAGGACATGTTATGTAAAATGAATATGCAACAATCTGTGTTCTGTCCGTAGACATGTAAAAATGACACATCCGTTCCTTTATGAATTTGTTTTTGCATAGATGCATGTGTGTGTGTGAACTCGCTTATTCATATCATGCTGTCATTTTCAACAGATATTCCGAGCACCGTCTTTCACGACACATCTCATCCCCGGTACAAGTCGGATAGAAAAACGAACTTGACAAAAGCGAGCACCATCCTCATACACCGCAACCACACATATATAGTTGTGATGCTTGTGTCCGTTGAGGAGAATACTTTGATCTTACATACAGAGAGAACCCGTAAAAATGTAAGAGTTAGTACAGATTAAATAACACCATTCTGGGTGAATGTGTCAAGAGTGCCTTCCATCTTTCAGCCGCGATTGTGACAACCTGGAGACCATATACTGTAAATGGTAATGTTATTAGCAATGGGGCAGTAGATTAGGGGTCAAAGTGCGCCATCCTTGAATGCAATGTTGCTCACGAGATCACACACACAAACACAATTTGTCCTCCTTCATTGGCTTGATCAACCAAATCTCATTCAATTTTCGAATCATCAATCCGTTACTTTTACATTCGTTTAGCTACCCGTGTTATTCGTCTTACTATACTGCTCTGATTAACATAAATATAAGTTAAAATGTTGGGTCGTGGCCCGGTAATTATAGGTTGCCTTTGTCCTATTTCTGTAAGTGATTTATTTTAGTTGATTATATTACTTTATGATACTTGGATGATCACCTTGATTGTTGCATCTTTTTTACAGAAGGGTTCTTTTTCTATCCCTAATCTCTTATTACACTTTGAATAAACACTCTGTTGCATAACGGCAGACAGAAATTTCCCTGGTCAAAACGGATCATACGTATTCACTCCAAGGGGACAGTCGCTCTTGGGAACCTACGCAGAAAACAGCACTATGTATGGTTGAAACACAACAATAAGTTATAAGCACACACAAACCTTTCTCTGGAATGACTCCTGTGGTGCCTGTCAGTGACTGTCGATTTGGAATTAGTGAAAAACGTTTGTGGTAGAAAGATATTAGATAGCTATGGGATCTGTTGCCAAATGTTTATTGCATTTTTGTCTGTGACACCGAACTACATTCTTTTATGTCTTTTCTATGTCCGCTATAAATTCTAAATGCGAATAATGCAGTAATATTGCACCTGAAATTGAACATATCATCATACTCTTTTCACATTCAGGCAGCTTGTTCACGTTGTTATCACTTTCTGAGATCGCCGTCACCGAAGATTTATTTTTCAGAACTATCGCACTTTTAAGCCTTTAAGGATAGTCTAATGCGTGTTGCTTTACTATACCTTTTTCATGTCAAGTTGTCCCAGTATCATATCATGTTGTCCGGGAATCA